GCCAGTACGTTTGGCCCCGCCCATCCTCTGACAGCCAGCCCGGCTAAGATTCATCCCGCCGCCGCGCTCACAGAGGTGACCAATGGCATCGCAGCAACCGCAGGGGTGAGACACCGTCCCGCAGGGCGACAGGAGGGGGCAGGGCGGGGCTAACAGCACGCTAACAACATGCTAACTGTTTGTGTGCAGAAGCAGGGCGTCCAGGTGAGGTCATCAGCGAGGGACAGCCAGTGGTACGACGTCGGCATCGTCAAGGTGACCAACATGGTGGTCACACATTACTACGTCCCCTACGAAGACAACATGGCCGACGTAAGAACGGAAATCTGCTGAGCCGCTCTTCTGTTGAGATAGCTATGAATTCTGGGGTTATTGATTATGTTATTGGTTATTGATTATGTTATTGGTTATTGATGAGGTTATTGGTTGTTATTGATGAGGTTATTGATTATGTTATTGGTTATTGATGAGGTTATTGGTTATTGGTTATTGATTATGTTATTGGTTATTGATTATGTTATTGGTTATTGATGAGGTTATTGGTTGTTATTGATGAGGTTATTGATTATGTTATTGGTTATTGATGAGGTTATTGATTATGTTATTGGTTATTGATTATGTTATTGGTTATTGATGAGGTTATTGGTTGTTATTGATGAGGTTATTGATTATGTTATTGGTTATTGATTGTGTTATTGATGACGTTATTGATTATGTTATTGATGAGGTTATTGATTATGTTATTGGTTATTGATGAGGTTATTGGTTGTTATTGATGAGGTTATTGATTATGTTATTGGTTATTGATTGTGTTATTGATGACGTTATTGATGAGGTTATTGATTATGTTATTGGTTATTGATGAGGTTATTGGTTATTGATGAGGTTATTGTTAATGATGAGGTTATTGATTATGTTATTGGTTATTGATGAGGTTATTGGTTATTGTTATTGATGAGGTTATTGATTATGTTATTGGTTATTGATGAGGTTATTGTTATTGATTATGTTATTGGTTATTGATTATGTCATTGATGAGGTTATTGATTATGTTATTGTTATTGATGAGGTTATTGATTATGTTATTGTTATTGATGAGGTTATTGATTATGTTATTGTTATTGATGAGGTTATTGATTGTTATTGATGAGGTTTTTGATTATGTTGTTTTTGATGAGGTTATTGATTGTTATTGGTTATTGATGAGGTTATTGATTATGTTATTGGTTATTGATGAGGTTATTGATTATGTTATTGGTTATTGATTATGTCATTGATGAGGTTAGTGATTATGTTATTGTTATTGATGAGGTTATTGATTATGTTATTGATGAGGTTATTGGTGAGGTTATTGATTATGTTATTGTTATTGATGAGGTTATTGATGGTTGGTTATTGGTGAGGTTATTGATTAGTTATTGTTATGATGAGGTTATTGATTATTGGTGGTTATTGGTTATTGATGAGGTTATTGATTATTTTGGTTATTGATGGGTATTGTTATTGAAGTTATTGGTATTATGTCATTGATGAGGTTATTGATTATGTTATTGTTATTGATGAGGTTATTGATTATGTTATTGTTATTGATGAGGTTATTGATTATGTTATTGGTTATTGATGAGGTTATTGATTATGTTATTGTTATTGATGAGGTTATTGATTGTTATTGATGAGGTTTTTGATTATGTTGTTATTGATGAGGTTATTGATTGTTATTGGTTATTGATGAGGTTATTGATTATGTTATTGGTTATTGATGAGGTTAGTGATTATGTTATTGTTATTGATGAGGTTATTGATTATGTTATTGGTTATTGATTATGTTATTGATGAGGTTATTGGTGAGGTTATTGATTATGTTATTGTTATTGATGAGGTTATTGATGGGGTTATTGGTTATTTATGAGGTTATTGGTGAGGTTATTGATTATGTTATTGTTATTGATGAGGTTATTGATTATGTTATTGGTGAGGTTATTGGTTATTGATGAGGTTATTGGTGAGGTTATTGATTATGTTATTGGTTATTAATGAGGTTATTGATTATGTTGATGAGGTTATTGGTGAGTTTATTGATGAGGTTATTGATTGTTATTGATGAAGTTATTGGTGAGGTTATTGATTATGTTATTGATGAAGTTATTGATTGTTATCTGTTATCGATCAATGTTACTGATTATGTTATTGGTTGTTGATGAGGTTGATTATGTTATTGATGAGGTTATTGATTATCTGTTATTGATGAGGTTACTGATTATGTTATTGGTTGTTGATGAGGTTGATTATGTTATTGATGAGGTTATTGATTATGTTATTGGTTATTGATGAGGTTATTGATTATGTTATTGATGAAGTTATGGATGAAGTTGTTGGTTATTGATGATGTCATTGGTAAATGATGATGTTATTGATGAAGTTATTGATTGTTACTGTTTATTGATGAGGTTATTGATTATGATATTGGTAAGGTTATTGATGAGGTTATAATGAGGTGATTGTTATTGGTGAGGTTATTGATTATGTTATTGATGAAGTTATTGATTGTTATCTGTTATTGATTATGTTACTGATTATGTTATTAGTTGTTGATGAGGTTGATTATGTTATTGATGAGGTTATTGATTATGTTATTGGTTATTGATGAGGTTATTGATGAAGTTATTGATTATCTTTTATTGATTATGTTACTGATTATGTTATTGGTTGTTGATGAGGTTGATTATGTTATTGATGAGGTTATTGATGAGGTTATTGATTATGTTATTGGTTATTGATGAGGTTATTGATTGTTATTGATGAGGTTATTGATGAAGCTATGGATTAAGTTGTTGGTTATTGATGAGGTTGATTGTTATTGATGAGGTTATTGATTATGTTATTGGTTATTGATGAGGTTATTGATTGTTATTGATGAGGTTATTGATGAAGTTATGGATGAAGTTGTTGGTTATTGATGAGGTTATTGATGAAGTTATGGATGATGTCATTGGTAAATGATGATGTTATTGATGAAGTTATTGATTGTTACTGTTTATTGATGAGGTTATTGATTATGTTATTGGTAAGGTTATTGATGAGGTTGTAATGAGGTGATTGATTGTTATTGATGAGGTTATTGATGATGTTATTGATGATGTTATTGGTGAGGTTATTGATGATGTGTCTACCTGCAGGATGACTCAGGTGTGGTGCCGGATTACAGTCAGATGAGGAAGGTGGAGCTGCAGCCGGGGACGGCCTATAAGTTCCGGGTGGCGGGGATCAATATCTGTGGCCGCGGGTCGTTCTCGGAGGTGTCTGCATTTAAAACGTGTCTTCCTGGTTTCCCCGGAGCGCCGTGTGCCATCAAGATCAGCAAGGTGAGACTGACTTCCTTCTCCATCAGTGGGGGTTCATGGGAAATGTAGTTTAGTCTCTAGAAACTCGTTAATCTTTGATCCTGGTTCTGCAGAACCTGGATGGGGCTCAGCTGACCTGGGAGCCTCCCGCCGTCACGTCGGGGAAGATCACTGAGTACTCGGTCTACCTGGCCATCCAGTCCAGCCAGGCCACCTCCTCCGGTTCTGGTCCGGCCCAGCTGGCCTTCATGAGGGTCTATTGCGGTCCCAACCCGTCCTGCCTGGTCCAGGCCTCCAGCCTCGCCAACGCCCACATCGACTACACCACCAAACCTGCCATCATCTTCCGCATCGCTGCTCGCAACCAGAAGGGCTACGGGCCCGCCACGCAGGTCCGGTGGCTGCAAGGTGAGAATCCTAGACAGCAACAATAAACAACAACAACAGTAAACATCCAGAAGGGCTCGAGAGAGAAATAATGGTGTGTTCACATCAAACGAGCTGTTTACTCGGGGGTCGTTTGTCTGGGCGGCTCTGGCTCAGAGGCAGAGCGGGCCGTCCACTAATCGGAAGGTTGTTGGTTCGATCCCCGGCTCCTCCTGTCACATGTGGAAGTGTCCTTGAGCAAGATACTGAATCCCGAATTGCTCCTGATGCTGTCGGTGAGTGAATGTGTCTGTAGTGTAAAAGCACTTTGAGTGGTTGGAAGACTAGAAAGGAAAATATACAAGTACAGCTCGTTTACTATTTACTGTGTGAGTGTGTGTGTGAGTGAGTGAGTGAGTGAGTGAGTGAGAGTGTGTGTGTGTGTGTGTGTGAATGAGAATGGACACAAGATGGAGGTAAAGTAGGAATTAAGAGGAACAACAAGTTGTTTCTTAACGTTTGATCAAACGGAATGATGTTATTATTGTTATTATTATTATTATTATTAATGATCTTATTGTCTCTGTCCTGTAGAAAGCAGTAAAGATGCCAAACCAGCAGTGAAGAGACCAGGAACGTCTCCTGATTTGTAAGAACTGATAATGTTCACTCACACAGTCCATTATTTAATGTGGTGGATCCCAACCTGAGGGTCTGGACCTCTCCGGGATACAAATATCCACAGTAGGCAGATGTCTCATCACCTCAATCTCTGCAGTCTCTGAGTTCACAGTTTATTGTTCAGTTTGAATATAAAAGATCCAAAATCAATAAATAAACAAACAACAGTTTATAATAATCAGACAAACAAACGTTTGGTATCAGGATCATCCAACAGACTACAAAGCTAAAAGAATGATTATTTGTGTTTTTTCCTCCAGTAAACCTGCTGGACCAAAGAAGTTCAGAACCGACCAATAGGAGGAGCCGACATTCTGCCGAGGACTGTGTTTACGGTTGTCTCAAGCTCCGCCCTGCAGCTGGAGGCGGGGCTCTGACAGCTTCCTGTCCCACAGGAAACAAATAAAATAAAAGACTTGTAGGATTTGTACATTATCGACCAATCAGAACTCTTCTTCTATAAAGTGTTTTTGGTTGTCATGGAGATGGTGACGGGGCAGAGTCCACAGCTTTTCACCTTCAAATGGAAAAATAAAGTTTGAGTTATTACGCGTAGATGTGTCTGTCTGTCTGTCTGTCTGTCTGTCTGTCTGTCCCGGTGTCTCTCGCCCTCTCGCTCTTTGACGTCATTAAAGGTCAAAGATCTCGGTGCTGTCTGGGGGCGGAGTTTAAACCAGCTCTGTTGTAAATTGTTTTCTTTGTCCAGCATCAAAATATTTACTTTTCCTTTTGTTTTATAAACATCTGTAAGAAAAGATAAATCATTTCTTCTTCTGTGGTTTCTGTTTCTTCTTTGTTTGTTGGCCGCAGTGACGGAGGTCACCCGTTGGGCAGTTTCTCTGAGCAGGAAGTGAATTATTTTTTCAACTGTTTAAAAAATCAAACCTGTTTGTGAATATTCTCTGGAACAATAAAGATTTTTAGAGCATTTTTTTTACTGACCGTGTAGAGTCCACTTCCTGTCATCACTTCCGACACAAGTTATAATCCGTCACATTTTAGATTCTGTGTGGTCGGCAGTAGCCAGTTAATGTATTAAATAAACTTCCTCCATAAAGCAGTTATCATTGTTAGTGGCGGAGTCCGCCAGTCCCGCCCTGGATTCAGATCACCTTCACAGGAAACACTGCAGCCTCTAATGCAGAGCTGGATTAACTTACTGCTAATGCTTCCACCGCTGGCTGTCGAGGTGGTGTCCAGCAAACGATGTGGGCTTCATTGATAACTGGAAGCCTTTTTGGGGAAAACCTGGTCTGATTAGGAGAGACGGCATCCATCCCACTTTGGATGGAGCGGCTCTCTTATCTAGGAATATGGCGAAGTTTATCTCTAAAACCTGACAGTCCAGAGTTAGGACCAGGAAGCAGAGCTGCTGTCTTACACACTTCTCTGCGCTTTCTTTAGAACAGTCACCCACCCAAAACCCCATAGAGACTGTGTCTGTCCCCCGACCACCTAAACTATTTAAAGAAATAAAAACAAGAGGAGTTCAACATAAAAATCTAATAAAAATTAAAACTAACTCCTCAGTAGCACAAAATAAGAGAATGAAATGTGGGCTGTTAAATATCAGGTCTCTGTCCTCTAAAGCTGTTTTAGTGAATGAATTAATATCAGATTATGATATTGATTTACTTTGTCTTACTGAGACCTGGTTGTCCCACGAGGAGTATGTTAGCCTAAATGAATGCACCCCCCCCCAGTCATATTAATACTCACATTCCTCGAGGCACAGGCCGAGGAGGTGGAGTAGCAGCCATATATGATTCGAGCGTTTTAATGGACCCTAAACCTAAACTAAATTATAATTCATTTGAAAGCCTTGTTCTTAGTCTTTCTCACCCAAACTGGAAAATACTGCAGCCAGTTCTATTTGTTATAGTGTACCGCGCTCCTGGACTGTACTCTGATTTTATATCTGAATTCTCAGAGTTTTTATCAAGTTTAGTCCTTAAATCAGATAAAGTAATTATTGTAGGTGATTTTAATATTCATGTGGATGTACAGTGACAGCCTTAGTAACGCATTTATATCATTAATAGACTCAATTGGCTTCTGTCAGAGTGTAAATAAACCAACTCATTGTTTTAATCACACTCTTGACCTTGTTTTATCATATGGCATTGATATTGAACATTTAATAGTCTTCCCACATAATCCTTTCCTATCTGACCATTATTTAATAACTTTTGAATTCATACTATTAGATTATAAGCCATTAGGCAAAACTTCCTACAGCAGATGTCTATCTGACAGTGCTGTAGCTAAATTTAAGGAGGAGATTCCTTCAGTGTTTAATTCAATGCCATGTCTGAATTTAACAGAGTCCTATAACAACTTTAGTCCCTCTGAAATTGATAATCTTGTCGATAGTGCTGCAGGCTCACTACGATCAACATTAGACTCTATCGCTCCTATAAAAAGGAAATTTTTTTAGCACCTTGGTACAATCACCAAACCCGCCAGTTAAAACAAATAGCTAGGAAATCTGAAAGGAAATGGCGCTCTTCCAAATTATCAGAATATCGCTCAATTTGGCAAGATAATCTTAAAACTTATAGAAAGGCCCTCCGTAATGCCAGAGGAGCCTATTACTCAGCAATAATAGAAGAAAATAAGAATAACCCTAGGTTCCTCTTCAGCACTGTAGCCAGGCTGACAGAGAGTCACAGCTCTATCGAGCCACATATCCCCATAAACTTAAGTAGCAATGACTTCATGAGCTTCTTCTATAATAAAATTATTACTATTAGAGAGAAAATTAATCACCAACTGCCATCAACAGTTATCAGTGGCTCTCCAAGTTCAGGGACTTCTGCCAATGTAAACTTAGATATATATTTAGACTGTTTCTCTGCTATCGATCTTCATCAGTTAACTTCAATCATTTCTTCATCGAAGCCATCAACCTGTCTATTGGACCCGATCCCAACTAGGCTGCTTAAAGAAGTTGTTCCCTTAATTGGCACTTCTTTACTGGATATGATTAATCTTTCTTTATTATCAGGATATGTACCACAGTCCTTTAAAGTAGCTGTAATTAAACCCCTTCTTAAAAAGTCCACTCTTGACCCAGGGGTTTTAGCCAACTATAGACCGATTTCTAACCTCCCCTTCCTCTCTAAGATTCTGGAGAAAGTAGTCGCCAAAGAGTTGTGTGACTTTCTACATAACAATAGTTTATTTGAGGATTTTCAGTCAGGATTTAGAGTTCATCATAGCACAGAGACAGCTCTGGTTAAAGTTAATAATGACCTTCTGATTGCTTCTGACAATGGACTTGTCTCTGTACTTGTATTATTAGATCTTAGTGCTGCATTTGACACCATTGACCATAATATTCCTTTACAGAGACTTGAGCATCAAATTGGCATTAAAGGAATCGCACTAAGCTGGTTTAGGTCATACTTATCAGATCGTTCTCAGTTTGTACATGTTAACGATGAATCTTCAATAAATACTACAGTTAGTCATGGAGTTCCACAAGGTTCTGTACTTGGACCAATACTATTTACTTTATATATGCTCCCTTTAGGCAACATTATTAGGAATCACTCCATTAACTTTCACTGTTATGCAGATGATACGCAGTTATATCTATCAATCAAACCCAATGAAATTAATAAAATATCTAAATTACGAACATGTCTTAAGGACATAAAATCCTGGATGACCTGCAATTTTCTGATGTTAAACTAGAAAAAATTCTTGTTCTTGGCCCCAAAAACCTTAGAGACTCACTGTCTAAAGATATAGTTACTCTAGATGGCATTAACTTGGCCTCTAGCACCACTGTCAGGAATCTTGGAGTTATCTTTGATCAGGATTTGTCATTTAACTCCCACATAAAGCAAACCTCTAGGACCGCCTTCTTTCATTTACGTAATATTAGAAAAATTAGACACATACTATCACAGACAGATGCAGAAAAACTAATCCATGCATTTGTTACTTCAAGGCTGGATTAATGCAACTCTTTATTATCAGGTTGCCCCAATAAGTCCATTAAAACGCTCCAATTAATTCAGAACGCTGCAGCACGAGTACTGACAGGAACTAGAAAAAGAGATCACATCTCTCCTGTACTAGCTACTCTGCATTGGCTTCCTGTAAAATGTAGAATAGCATTTAAAATCCTCCTCCTCACCTATAAAGCTCTTCATGGTCAGGCCCCTTCATATCTTAAAGAGCTCATAGTACCCTATTACCCCTCTAGAACACTACGTTCTCTGAATGCTGGGCTACTTGTGGTTCCTATAGTCTCTAAAAGTAGAACAGGAGCCAGAGCCTTCAGTTACCAAGCTCCTCTCCTGTGGAACCAGCTTCCAGTTGTGGTTCGGGAGGCAGACACCCTCACCACATTCAAGAGTAGGCTTAAGACATTCCTCTTTGATAAAGCTTATAGTTAGGGCTGGATCAGGTGAGTCCTGAACCATCCCTTAGTTATGCTGCTATAGGCCTAGACTATCGGGGGATTTCCCATGATGCACTGAGCTCCTCTCTTCCTCTCTCTCTCTTTCTGCACTCATTCATGTCCCATTAATGCATGTTACTAACTTCACTTCTTCCCCGGAGTTCTTGTGCTTTCTCGTCTCGCAGGTTCTCATGGATCCTGGTGGAGCCTCCTGCCATGGTCCTGCTAGATTGCCATTGTCAATACTGTTGTTGCTGTGCACCTGTCTGTCTGTCTGTCTGTCTGTCTGTCTGTCTCTCGCTCTCTCTCTCTCTCTCTCTCTCTCTCTCTCTGTCTCTCTCTCTACCCCAACTGGTCGAGACAGACGACCACCCACCTAGAGCCGGAGGATCTGTCCTAGGTTTCTGCCTTTTAACAGGCAGTGTTTCCTTGCCCTTGTCTCCAAGGTCTTGCTCATGGTGGTACTGTTGGGTCTCTGTAATTAATGTTATAAAGAGTTCGGTCTAGACCTGCTCTATTTGAAAAGTGTCCTGAGATAACTTCTGTTATGAATTGGCGCTATACAAATAAAACTGAATTGAATTGAGAATGTGTTTGTAGTGTTTCACTATTTGATGTTGTTTTGCTGCTTTTATGTCTTTATGTAAAGTGTCTTTGAGTATCTAGAAAAGCGCTTATAAATAAAATATATTATTATTATTATTATTATTATTATTATTATTAATTATCGATCGATCTCCACATTGTGAGTCTGTGTGCGCACAGAAACGTGCGCGTGCCCGCAGCGTTGTGAGCGCGCTGGCGTGCTGATTGAGCTCGTGCAGTGAGCTGCTGCCGTATCGGTGAGGAGGAGGAGGAGGAGGAGGAGGAGGATGAAGAGCAGCGAGCCTTCTTCTGATCACAGCATCGATCCGCGATGATTGATCAGCGTCCGCGGCCGCGCTGATCCCGGAGCGGCTGCACGAGGCGACAGTGGCGTCATCAATCAATCAATCAATCAATCAGCGTCATCGATCACACCTGATGTGAGAGCGCGCGGTGCGGAGCGCGAGCCGCAGCGGGAGACAATCAGCTGCGGGTTCTGGACCGGACTGGTTCCGGATCATGTGAGCGACCGGCGGCAGATCGGATCCCCGCCGGAAGTGAAGCGTCAGAGGACGGAGACCGGCAGGTGGTCCAGGACCGCAGGGGGGTCCAGGTAGGTCCCAGAAACCATCACAAACATAGCGTACTGGTCCCTCCCGCACACCAGACTCCATTTAAAAGTTGGTGATTTTAAGGTTGCTCCGCTCCTCTGCTGCAGTGCTCAGCGGGGAGAACAAAGATCAGTCTCCTGCCCGAACTCCCGCGAGCTGCTCTTTAACTCACAGTTAATGCACCGACTGTCGTTCATCAATGATCAGAGGAGTTATTGATGAGAGAAATATCTCAGTTATTGAATCTGGTATCCTGTTCTTCTGACGCAGAAACGGGTCACATCTGGCTGCAGTTTGGTGGATTTTAATCTTGTTGCAATGGATCCAACACAGATAGAAAACTTCAGTTTTGACGTAACGGAATCCGAACGTTTGATGATGAATATATGACGTCATTTCTATCGATATATTATCGATTATCAGCGTTGTTATTATTATGGCGGTCCCCACCCAGCGCCACGTGCCTGTGTGTGTGTGTGTGTGTGTGTGTGTGTGTTCTGCTTTATTAAATGTTCAGTATTGATCAGCTAGAGGATATTGATCAGTAGGTGAGACTTTCTCTCCTGTTTACTGATGAAACAGGAAGTCTCTTTTGAATTTCTGATTCAGATTTTTTCTATTAATTGATCAATAATCTGATCTATAAGATAGAAACTGAATTGAATTAAAGCTTCATATTATCTGTTTTCTTGTTTGCAACCAGGATCGTTGTTACATGGTCTGTTTCCATGGTGACGAAGAGATTTCAAATTAATACTTTGAGAGTGATTAAAGACTATTAAAGAGAATATATAAAATATAATCAATAAATGATCTAATCTGATCAGATTGAATCCAAACTGTTAATATAAGATCAATAAAACCAGAGCACCTAGTAGCTAACTTTAGCTTGCTCAGTGGGCGCAATGCATTCTGGTACATGAAGGCTCTACCATCGGAAACAACAGCAGTCAGAAGTGACCCTGAACGCCTCGTCTGCCACTGACTGCTTCCTCTTTCTTGTATCAATAAACTGTATTTCATATTCTATTGATCAATAACAGTAACTACTTCCTTGTCAGGGTGAACCTGTGATCCACTGACTCCAGATCAGCTTCATCACAAAATGATCGGTTCATTAATAATCAGTTCATTAATAATCGGTTCAATAATTATCAGTTCATTAATTATCAGTTCAATAATTATCAGTTCAATAATTATCAGTTCAATAATTATCAGTTCATTAATTATCAGTTCATTAATTATCAGTTCATTAATTATCAGTTCAATAATTATCAGTTCATTAATTATCAGTTCATTAATTATCAGTTCAATAATTATCAGTTCAATAATTATCAGTTCATTAATTATCAGTTCATTAATTATCAGTTCATTAAGTTAAAAATAAAAACTTAAAAGATTTGTTGAAGCTTTATAATGAGACTGACTTTACTGTTTTATTGTTTTTAAAATTTATATTCATATTGAAGCTGTGAACACTACATCACAATGTATGTTATTATTATTATTATTATTGATCAAGGTATATTATTATAATTATTGATCACAATGTATGTTATTATTATTATTATTATTATTGATCAAGGTATATTATTATAATTATTGATCACAATGTATATTATTATTATTGATCAAGGTATATTATTATAATTATTGATCACAATGTGTATTATTATTATTATTATTATTATTATTGATCACAAGGTATATTATTATAATTATTGATCACAATGTATATTATTATTATTATTATTATTATTATTATTGATCACAAGGTATATTATTATAATTATTGATCACAATGTATATTATTATTATTATTATTATTATTATTGATCACAAGGTATATTATTATAATTATTATTATTATTGATCACAAGGTATATTATTATTATAATTATTATTATTATTGATCACAATGTATATTATTATAATTATTATTATTATTGATCACAAGGTATATTATTATTATAATTATTATTATTATTGATCACAATGTATATTATTATTATTATTATTATTGATCACAATGTTTATTATTATTATTATTATTGATCACAATGTATATTATTATTATTATTATTATTATTATTGATCACAATGTATATTATTATTATTATTATTATTGATCACAATGTATATTATTATTATTATTATTATTGATCACAAGGTTTATTATTATTATTATTATTGTTATTGGTTACAGTGTGATCAAACTTCCTGCAGTTATTGAGTTCACTGTTTGGGGTTATTGATCAGTTACTGTTATTGATACTGATCAATAGTTAGTAGTTCTGAACTTTAGCTACTGGGTGCTAATCGAAGTTGCACAACGACGTCGCTGAGAAAATTATTCCTGAAGTTTGACACGTAGCTATATTGTTACCTGGTCCTGACCTGGTCCGCATTAGGACCTGTGTGTCGCCCCCGGTTTATGGAAAGTCGTTGTGAAGCTCAATGTGGTCTGCTCTGGCCGTCACCATCTTGGATTTTCTCAGGAGGTTCCACATGGGTCAATTCTTGGACCTTTGCCTTTTTCTCCGTACATACATGGTCCCACTCCACAAAGTTATAAAGGAAGGCAGTAAAGTTTATCCTCCATTATGCTGATGATACTCTGCTGTTCACTGTCAGCAGGAGTTACAGTTACTGTGGAAACACTGGTCAGCATCACACACTGTGTAATTAAAACAGTCCCTAGTCTCGTGACGTCCTGCACAGGTTCACTGCTGGAGCCTCTAGTGGACACACGGAGGCTGCTGATTGGTCCAGACAGGGTCTACTGACTGCAGTACAGACTCTCTCTATCTCCCCCTGGTGGCTGACTGCAGTATAGACTCTCTCTCTCTCTCTCTCTCTCTCCCCCTGGTGACTGACTGCAGTATAGACTCTCTCTCTCTCTCTCTACCTCCCCCTGGTGACTGACTGCAGTACAGACTCTCTCTATCTCCCCCTGGTGGCTGACTGCAGTATAGACTCTCTCTCTATCTCCCCCTGGTGGCTGACTGCAGTATAGACTCTCTCTCTATCTCCTCCTGGTGGCTGACTGCAGTATAGACTCTCTCTCTATCTCCCCCTGGTGGCTGACTGCAGTATAGACTCTCTCTCTATCTCCCCCTGGTGGCTGACTGCAGTATAGACTCTCATTCATTCATTAGCAGTGGGAGGAAGAGGGGACTAATATATTTAGTCTGGCATGAGTCTCTTCCTCAGATGGTGCAGTGGATGAAGACTTCTGTGTTGGTTCTTGCAGACAACAACAACGTCTGACAGTGAGGTAGACTGGCAGGTTTCAGTGGGCGGGACTGGCCTATAGGAGTTAGTGTGTTTCTGTATGATGTGTTAGATAAATGCTGAATACAAACATTGGGTAGTTGGAGTATGTTGAGATGTTTTAGGAGAAAGTGAAAATAGCAGAAAGAGTGTGTGTGTAAATAGTGTATAGAATTTAAAACTGAAAGTGTTCCAGTGACAGTGCAATCCTTGGTGACATCACAGGAAACTACAGTGATTGTTTTAAAGCTCGGCACACAGAGTTGCACAGAATGATTGGTTGTGTTAACGTTTCCCAGACAGCAGAAAATGGCTTCATTGACCCTGTAACAGCTCCTGCTAGCTGCTCCTGCTAGCTGCTCCTGCTAACAAATTATGTGTGGGAAATCATTCACAGGAGGAACAATGGACGCCCAGAGGTTGTAATCCAACAGGGTTCCCAGCAGTGGAGGGCAGGAAGCCACTGATCTCAGGATTTCAAAGTAAAAGTCCTCATTATGATCAGAAATCCAGTTTGAATCGTGTTCTTTTCTTATCTGGTCTCAGTTCTGTGGGTGGAACTCACTACAGTACCCATGAGCCTCAGCAGCTGTTGCTATGGAGACACCTCCATCCAGAGCACTGATGTCACACTTACATCATATTCTGCTGCTCAGCAACAGAGTCTGCAGCTCTTAGATTGGACGGTTCGCCACAGCAGTGCACTCTGGGACCTGTAGTTCATTCCTGGTCCAGGTCTCTCTCACCTGTGACTTCCTGTTTGTGACTCCGCCCACTGTGTGTCTGTGATGTCTCCATTATTGCCACACACACACCCACTGTAACACACACACACACACACACACACACACACACACACACACACCCACTGTAACACACACACACACACACACACACACACACACACACACACACACACCCACTGTAACACACACACACACACACACACACACACACACACACACACACACCCACTGTAACACACACACACACACATTAAGCGCCCCGGGGGTTGAAAGGTTATTGGCTGCCTGCGTGGAGCTTTCGACCAATCAGATGCAAGTATTCAGAGTCATGATTCTCTGCATTGTTGCCATGCGGAGAATCTGCTGACCTACATTCATCCTCCCCACACACACACACACAGTAACACACAGTAACACACAGTAACACACACACACACACACACACACACAGTAACACACAGTAACACACAGTAACACACAGTAACACACACACACACACACACACACACACAGTAACACACAGTAACACACACACACACACACACACACAGTAACACACAGTAACACACACACAGACAGTAACACACAGTAACACACACACACACACACACAGTAACACACAGTAACACACAGTAACACACACACACACACACACACACACACACAGTAACACACACACACACACACACACACACAGTAACACACAGTAACACACAGTAACACACACACACACACACAGTAACACACAGTAACACACACACACACACACACACACAGTAACACACACACAGTAACACACAGTAACACACAGTAACACACACACACACAGTAACACACACACACAAAACACACAGTAACACACACACACACACACACACACACACACACAGTAACACACAGTAACACACAGTAACACACACACACACACACACACAGTAACACACAGTAACACACAGTAACACACAGTAACACACACACACACA